TCGAGTGGTGCTGTAACAAGTGCATTGATTTGATCTCAACCAATCAATTATTTGAATGGTTGTAAAGCTGTTTTGTAGTCGAAGAATCATTGTCGAGCCTTGCGTAGACTTTGTATGAATCAGCAAATTTTGAAATGACTGCTAAGTATTTGCAAAGTATTTCAAATGTAGAGTATACAAAAAACTCAACCCCAAAGTGTGGCCTTCTAGGATCTAAAAATCTAATCAATTAATAATAATGCATTGGTTTTATATCGAGATTTATGGACTCTCAAAGACACTTCACATGTTATTCTTTTACTCCATACACGGTGGTGATAAACTACTACTGTAGCCACAGCTGCCCTGGGGTGCACTGACAGAAGCGAGGCAACCACTACTTACCATTCACACACACACCAGACTCATTCTAACGTGGGTGTAGTGTCTTGCCTGAGGACAAAGCCACAGTTTGGCACTTTACAGCCATAGCCGCAGCTGCCCCACTGTGGCACCTGGTGTTCCCAGAGGTCTCCCATCGCAGTTCTATCCATGCCCTGGCCTGCACAGCTTCAGAGATCTAACAAGATATGGATTTAGCATGCAAGTGTGGCCACATAATCAAAAGAATATTCAGCAAATGCATCGATTATCATCATAAACTACAATTACAGCCATAATATCAAGATTTAAATACAGTATATAATGTGCAACTGAAGTCCTTATGGAATTGACTCCGACAACCTTGATTGATGCAAAACGAGACAACACCTTTTTGCTACACTGATAAATGCTCAAAAAGGACGCAATAGACTAATAAAAGGCTCAATATGCGTCCATTGTTCTCCACTTTCTCCCCTGGTTTGGCAGAAAAGCAGAGACACCGGAGAATGGGTGCACCTGCCCTGGTCCATGTCTGGGTGCAGACAAAAGCGCCTCTTCGTCACGAGTGTCGGTAATGGACCGGTTTTACGCACTTAGAGCCGGCTCTGGTGCAGAAGGAGCAGCTGTCGAGGCTTATGTCGGCTGTAGGCGTGACGGACACCATTTTTGATTTGACATTTACAGAGAAAAACACACCATTTTCATGTAAAAAATCCTCGACTTCCTTTGAAATCTTTCATGCCTCTATAGAATGGCTTTTGTTTGCTCAGAAGGTTCTTTATTAAGAAGTAAATGTGAAATTGCCCGACCGCTGACCATGCCCCCTGCCCCGCTGCGGTTTCTGGAGAAGCGAGTCCCAAGTGTGAGGCAAGGTGAAGGCCCCCTCGTCTCGGTTGATGGTCCGTGCGCCCCGCTTCCTGATTTCAATCTCCTCTCAAATCCATCTTTTGTATTGTTGTTCTTTTGTTTCTGTTTCTAATATTTTTGAATTGTCCCGAGTCTGTTTTGTGATTTTCTCTTTTGCTGTGGTTAGATGTTGCTGATTTGAGTTTTTCCTGTGTCAGATCGATCTCTCAGACCGGCCGCATCCAGTTCCCAAGAAATGCTAAACAGTCAATTGTGCATTATGTCTACTTTACATGCCAAAAAAATGCCGTTTTTGTTAAGTTTTAGTCGTTTCAAGCACACAATGAAAAAAGTGTACATTATTTACAACAACAAAAACAAATCATTTATTTGCAATGTATTTCAAATGTAGAGTATACAAAAAACTCAACCCCAAAGTGTGGCCTTCTAGGATCTAAAAATCTAATCGATTAATAATAATGCATTGGTTTTATATCGAGATTTTTGGACTCTCAAAGACACTTCACATGTTATTCTTTTACTCCATACACGGTTGTGATAAACTACTACTGTAGCCACAGCTGCCCTGGGGTGCACTGACAGAAGCGAGGCAACCAGTATGTGCAAACAGCACCTCCGACCAGCACCAACCATTCACAAACACACTAGACTCATTCTAGGCGATAGGGGTGAAGTGTTTTGCCTAAGGACACAACGACAACAAACATCTGTGGGAGTCGGTGGAGAGGGTCTTGTGGTGGGCTCGAACCTACTACCTTCAGGCTCAAAGGCCAAGGCTCTACCAACTTAGCCACTGTTGCCTCATATAAATAAATAACTAACTAACTAGTATTATGGTTCTATTATAGCAACAATGCAACACTTTGACAATAGCGTTTATCAAAGGTTTTGGCTCCGCTGTCTAAGTTCAGCGAGTCTTGCGTGTGGATTAGCGTCCCGTTGCCAGAGTCCGCCCACAGACTCCCCCCTCGGGCTCTTTGTCACTGACCCCCGGACCCCGAGACGAGCGCAGCGACGGGCAGACGGTGGGGCAGCTCTTTTCTCCGCCATTTTCCGCTTCCTTTCTTTGACTCAATAACAATGACGAGCTGCAACTGCTTTGGCCGCGTCCAAATCAATTTAGGCTTATTTGAATCCAATCACTGCGACGGGGCTCGCTCTGGTGTTGGACCGGGGATTGTTAGCATGCGCCATCGTCCAGTGCCAAATTTAGCTATTTTATTTTCCCGCTTCGTGGAGTCCGGTGACCAAAGATGCGAACAATTACAGACAATGGAAGGAAATTAAAGGCAGTGCGAGGAGTTAGCTCCCGCCAGGATGTGTTGGTCCTGGAATAGTCCTGACATTAAAATGCAAATGTTTCTGTCTTTTTGGGGGTTCAACGCAGCTCACAGCACAGACTCAGTCATACGTTTAATGCCTTATAAATAAGTGAACTTATGGTCAATTTTGGACAATTTTCTGAGTTTCTGATATAGTTTTCAGACCTCTGAAGCTAAGCAGGGCAGAGCTTGGCTTATGCTGTGATGGGAGACCTATGGGAACACCAGATGCCAAAGTGCCAAACTGTCGTCATGTCCTTCGGCAAGACACTTCGCCCACATTAGAATGAGTCTGGTTTGTGTGTGGTGGGGCGGGCACGGTGGCTTAGTGGTTAGCACTTTCGCTTCTCAGCAAGTAGGTCGGAACAGGGCCTTTCTGTGTGGAGTTTGCATGTTCTCCCCGTGTCTGCGTAGGTTTCCTCCGGGTACTCCGGTTTCCCCCACCACTAAAAACATGTACAATAGGTCTGGCAGAGACAAATGCCCACAACTGTAAACTGCTTTGTGACTCTGGTCTGTGGAAGGCGGTATTTAGATAAAGATTACTTACTACTACTTACTACTTACTCGCTTGTGTCAGTGTGCCCCAGGGCAGCCGTGACTCCAGTAGTAGTTTATCACCACCGTGTTTGGAGTGAATGAATAACGACATGTGAAACGTCTTTGAGTGTCCAAAAATGCGCTATATAAAAGCAATGTATTATTGTTTTTTATATATAGCTGCACTTTTTATTTTGACTAATGCCCTTTTCCGTGCTCACACCCCGACCAAACCCCTGGTTATTTAGCCCATAAATAAAGCATGCTCAGGTTTGTACAGTGGAACATATCCGTCATGATAAAGGTCATCTCTGGGCGCACACTTTCCACCGCACCACACACACACACACACACACACACACACACACCGACAAATGCATGTGCAGGAATACCACCAGGATCGCGTCAATTAACCGGCTGAAATAATCCTTCTCTGTCTTGGTGTGGGGGGTCTTTTGGCTTTTTTGGCTTCTGCGGTTTCTGCGGCTAACTACGAGGGCACTGCCAGTCGGGGGGAAATTGGCAAGTGCCGAGATGCTCAGGTGGAGAGCAGGGAGGGTCATTAGTTCCAGTGTTTCTCGCGGCTGGGGAGCTCGCGTGATCAACAAACACGGGATAAATCAGAATTATAACCTTCTTATAATAAGGAGAGGGAGGTGTGGAAGACTGGGATTTGATTAGACTGTTACTGTGCATGTTTGTGTGCATGTTTGTGTGTGTGTGTGTGTGTGTGTGTGTGTGTGTGTGTGTGTGTGTGTGTGTGTGTGTGTGTGTGTGTGTGTGTGTGTGTGTGTGTGTGTGTGTGTGCTTGTGTGTGTGAGCTGGTTGCAATGGTAAATTTCAATTCTCAATATCTGTTACAGGGAGATAAATAGAAAATAATAATAGTAATATCCGGTGAGATGGAAATATTGCTTGTTATATGAAATAAAAGGGGTAAGGTGTAATGATAGAAGCAGAAATTGGACTTTTTTGTTTATTTTATAACAATTCTTGGGTGTGTGGATGGTTGGACAGATGACACAGACTAATAAGGATTTTTTCTATTCTAATTCTTGTTTTGTTTTACTTTTCTGTAATGGAACCTAATGTTATTTTCTTATGTGCGTTGTTTTTTATGTAATTATTTGATCTTGATCTATGTCTGTGGATTCATGAGGAGCAGTTGCTGTAAATTCCCCAGATTGTAGCTTTGTGTTGCTAATTTTCAACAGTGGTCCCAAACTCACACTCACAAGCACATACGATCAATCAACCCTACACCTAATGTACACCTATGCAGACAGGGGGAGAACATGCAAACTTCAAACACAGAGAGAGGCTGGAGATGGAATCGAACTCACGGTGGTTAGCACGGTGGTTAGCACGGTGGCGCAAACAGGAAACATAGGGACATGGAAGTATGGATCTTCACGAAATATTCCATGGAGACTAATTGGCAAAATTAATAAAAAAGTAAATAAAAAAACACAGATCCATTAGTCTGTAAGGGACCGATAACCAAGGTCTACAAATGTCGTTGAATATCGAGAGAAATGTTCCCAAATCCAATTTTGTTTTTCCATTTTTATCCACTTATTGCAGCCACGAGCAAATGCAATTCCGATTTAATTTTATTTATATTCACCACAATATATTCAGCATTTGAATGTAGGTTCTTTCAGTAACGGGCGCTTCCAGAATCACAGCAGGAATTCTGTGGGAAGCTGTTTTTTTTTTATTTATTATTTATTTAGACGTTCGCTTTCCCCTTTTGCTCCAATCAACAGCACGTCGATTTTTCCCTCGTTATCATTCACGGCTGAGAATCTCGCAGCGCCGCTGCGGGGGGCAAACCTCGCGCCGGGGATTAATCAAGGCGTTTAAAAGCAATTTCCAACACGGCAGCGGCCCTCGCACGTCCCGGCCATGGATCACTGTCTGTACAAACTCCCCTCCCTGACCGCTGCACCGGGGATGAGCCGGAGGAGTCGCCTGGACACGGGTCATGTGATCTCCACTCTGTAATACATGCTTGCCGTGTCGTGTGGCGTTTGTTTAAAGCGGGCTAACGGGAAAACAGCGGTGAACAGGTAGCGGTGGGCAGCAGTCACCGGGCGCAATGTGTGGGGATTGACCGTCTTGACTGATAATGTCTAGTCTATGATGTCATCAGAATTCAAGGTTTTATAGGACATGGAGATCTGATCTAAATGCTATTGCGCTACTAAGCTAACAAGAACAGGTGTCATTTAATAACGCTTTATGGATGTTGATTAGAATAGTGTTAGAGAAAGAGAAGAAAACTGAAAAGATATCTTTTATTTTTATGTTTTGTTTATAGCTGGAATTGGCTGCGTGAGGGTTATACCTTTTTTTTTTAAGTTGTCTGTCTGAAGATGTTACAGAGGAAATACAAAATGTGCATCTCTGACACGTAAACCAACACGGTTCTGAGCACTGGCCTCCTGCTGGTGACTCTGAGGAGCACAGGGACTGGCCTCCTGCTGGTGACTCTGAGGAGCACAGGGACTGGCCTCCTGCTGGTGACTCTGAGGAGCACAGGGACTGGCCTCCTACTGGTGACTCTGAGCAGCACATGGACTGGCCTCCTGCTGGTGACTCTGAGGAGCACAGGGACTGGCCTCCTGCTGGTGACTCTGAGGAGCACAGGGACTGGCCTCCTGCTGGTGACTCTGAGGAGCACAGGGACTGGCCTCCTGCTGGTGACTTTGAGGAGCACAGGGACTGGCCTCCTACTGGTGACTCTGAGCAGCACATGGACTGGCCTCCTGCTGGTGACTCTGAGGAGCACAGGGACTGGCCTCCTACTGGTGACTCTGAGCAGCACACGGAATGGCCTCCTGCTGGGACTCTGAGGAGAACAGGGACTGGTTTCCTGCTGGTCCCAGAGCTAGGACTAAACATGCAGAGTCAGCATTTCAGATTAATGCAGCTACAATCTGGAAAAGTCTTCCTGAAAATTTGAGACAGGCTTCATCTTTGGCAATGTCCAAATCCAGTTCTGTTTGGCAGCACTAAAACAGAGGGATTTTAACTTCTATTCATGCACTGTAATTTTCCATGATTTTAAAGCCTCGTTGATTGTGTCTATCTTGTTTTGTCCAGCACTTTGACATGCCTTGTGTATTAACTGTGCTATACAAATAAACTTACCTTACCTTACAGGTTAAAACCACTCTCAAAATCAATCTGTTTTAGAGCCAGGAACGTGTAAGATTGTATTAGCTCCAATTGTTGTCGCTTGAAATGTACGTACAATCTTTTACAATAGAAAAAAAGTTATAGTCGAAAAGTTCAAAACAATACAAATATCTCTCATGTACAGCAACAACAACAAAAAACCCTTTCAACCATTTCTTTCCAACATCCTTCCAATCGCCTAACAAAATCTTTGACCCAGCGAGCGCCACGGCCCTGGAGAGAACACAGCAATCCCAGGCGGCCAGATGGAAAGGTCACCCAGGCTGTCCGACACGGGAGAGGGCAGGACGGGCACCGGGACTGGGGCCGATAAGGATCCTGCGACCAACCCTCTAAAGGAAGCCAAAAGGTCAGAATCACAGCGCTAAGAAGCACCCAGGGCCACAGCCAGCACCCGTGGGAGCCCCTGTGTTTGCTGAATAAATCGGCTGGACCGGTGGGTGTGCTGTCTGGGAAAGATGAGTATTGATTGGTTGGAGTATGGCGCTGCAGAAGTGATTGTTTGTATGTGGGCTCTCTGTTTGGACAAGTTTGCTCCTCATCTATTTCTTAAAGCCGTCGAGCTGAGATCCTGCTCTCTTTTCTTACACGCGGCCGCTTTAATACCGTTTACTGAGACGTTTTGTGGCATAGAAGAACAATTACGTGTCTGGGAACAGCGGGAAAATAAGAAAACCTCAATTTTGAGATGCCCATACAAAAATATAGTGTACATATTTGGTCCCTTTGAAACTGAAGTCTGTAAAAGATTTTCTGCTCACAGTGAGGATCGACTACAAAAAGTTTATTTCTAGTTGGTTTTTTACTAGACTAAAAATTTCAGTTGTTTTTGACCAGTTCAGTTAGATTAGTTTCTGATAAATTGAGATAACTTTCACAGGTTTCAATTCATTTATTATTTCAAGCAAGAACTGATAAAAAAAACTGTAAAAAGCAATTCATAGGCAAATATATTTTATAATAATAATAATAATGTATTGTTTTTATGTAGCGCTTTTTTTGACACTCAAAGTCTCTTCACATTCGTCGTTATTCTTTCACTCCAAGCACAGTGGTGATAAACTACTACTGTAGCCACAACTGCCCTGGGGCACACTAACAGAAGTGAGGCAACTTGTCTGTGCAATCAGCCTCACAGAGCCCCACCAACCATTCACACACACACCAAAACTCTTTCTAATGTGGGGGGATTGTGTCTTGTTCCGAGAAGTCTCCCATCACAGTTCAAACCAGGACCTGCCCTGCTTAGCTTCAGATGTCTGACTGGATCTGACTTCTGCATGCCAAACAAAGTGGCCATCACTTTGTTTGGCTGGAATACAGTTTCTAATAACCAGTTATCTCACTTAAAACTATAAAAAACAAAATTAGGAAAAATACTCCGTTTGCAAAGTGTTTAAGAAAAAAACTCGGAGGAACGGGCCAAAATTACAAGCAACAGTGTGTGAAAATTCTTGTGAAGACTTACATCATTGCCATTGCCAACACATAGTATATTAGAAAGTATTGAGACGGACTTTTGTTATTGACCGAATACGTGAATTCCACCATTGTGTCCAAATAAATTCTTGAAAAATCAGATAATTTTCTCATTGTTGAAGAATATTTATCAGACATCTCTCTCGCCCCACTGTAACGTCCTTTCAATCCAAAAACAATCAATTTCTTGCCTTTCAAATTTTCCTTTTCACATTAGCACTCACTTTAACCACCACCTTGTAGCTCGCAAACCGTTTTAGACTCGCACACAGAGTCTAGCTACTTTTTCTTATGCATTTTGTATAACAGCCCGGCACAGAGACAGAGAAAAACCCCAGCAGAAGTCTGACCCTTACAATTTACTTTTCAAACACGTGTTGCTGCTTCCAAATTACTAACATTCCCTCGCTCTAATCTACGCCAATTTATGTTCCCTGCATATTATTGCTCCGGTCTTTTTTTGCCTGCACTTCATTCACCGCTCCTGCTGTTCTGGTAATCTATCCCACGCATTAGTGAGTGGCTGTACGAGACCGGGAATTAATCACGTTCTCAATTAAATCATGTGTGCAAAGCCTCGCAGCCTGTAAAGGGCAGGCGCGCCGCTGAGTTGTTGTGACTCTCCCCAAATTGGCTTAATATTGAACACGAGTCTTCAGAAGTGTTTTGATTTCATTTCAATATACTCTCCCATCAACATAACAAATTATTTTCAACGCCAATTACACTCGAATTGCGTCTTCCGTCTCAAAATGCTGCACATGGACTAGCGGGCTTCTGGTTTGTTAATTATGGCGGGAGATTGTTTCCTTGAGCTAAAGTCGGAAATGTTAGCTTACAAGAGAAATACGCTTTCTAGACATTGGCTCGTCTCGCTGCTTCTTAGACCGTTATGAAGGACGGAACTCAAGAAAAGTTTGCGTCTTCCCGTTCCAAAGGTCTATCGATCTGAATTGGTTCTCAGAAGACAAAATTCGCCAACGATAGATCAGATAATGAAGATAAAAAATCCATTATTCGTCCCACAGTGGGGAAATTTCAATGTTGCAGCGCACAGATAGAACAGTAGTAAGTACTGTTTAATTATATAGCACATTTTACAGACCAAGGTCATCCAAAGCGCTTTACAATTGTTCAAAGTTCAGATAGTTATTCCATTTTCTCCACATGCAGCGATGATGGAAGTGAGTCGCTTAACACACTGGACCATCAAAGCACGAACCAACACCAGGAATTCACGACTATTGGGCATGTTTTTAGTGGTAGGGGAAACTGGAGCACCCGGAGGACACCTCGCAGACGCAGGGAGAACATGCAAACTCCACTCAGAAAGGCCCTTTTTTGATCAGGATTCAAACCCAGAACCTTCTTGCTGAGAAGCGAGAGTGCTATAGACTCCAAAGGACACAGGGAGCACACGAAATATGAATAGTTGATTTTCAAAAACAGATAAGCGCCATTAGAAAAAATATTGAAAAGACTTACAATATGCCCTTTACTAAATGGTGTTTTTGAAAAGCCATGTGTATTTGATTGCCATACAAATAATGTTTCATCCAAATCCTTTCAAATTTAGTGCCAATATGAAAACATGTGGATTATTATAGCTAAATAAATACAACTTTTTGACACATTTTCTAAACGAAGATCTGCTTTTGCAAATGAACTCTTCCTAATAGAAAATAAGTAGCAGCTGTGGTTCTTGGCTACCTGTAAATGCTTCATAGCCAGACATTCAAAAATATATAATATTGTGGGGTTATACACTTTACTTTATCTGCTTATTATCCTGCCCTTTATGTGAAGTGAAATTGTTCAGTGACATTCTGAAGTTGCAGTGTTGCACATAATTGCAGTGCATACTTATTTACAGATGGATGACATTTACAGGCTCAGCAGTTCTCATTGTACAGTCTGACAGCAGCAGGAGGGAAAGACCTGTGGAGCCTCTCCTTAACCACGGCGAGGGTGAATCAAACCCAGGCTGTAAAACGAGGAGCGAGGCCATGCCGTGCAGGACTGAGGCGGCTCCCAGGCGGTGAGGCGGATGCGGCTCAAAATCTCTGTATTTTGCATCAATATAAAACCCAGTAATTAATTCATGTCAGCAGCTTGTGAGGGTTCAGAGCCATCATTTACATACAGTAGGTGTAGAAATATTACAAGTTAGCGCCAAAAGCTACATCCAAAATACCCTGTTATGACTAAAATCTAATGGTTGCTTTACATAATAATCTCAACACAAATAGAAACACACAGTTACAAGATACATACCGATATAATGGAAAATAGCATTCACAGACCAAGACATCCTCATTTCTCTATATCCTGGCCGTGAGTTCACTCTCCGGTCCCACTGGATTGGCCAAGGGAGGTTAGCCAGGAGCCGGTCAGCCCATGAGGATGGGGGTCGGAAGTCAGATAAGGGGGGAAATCCATACCAACAGCACCCATGAATATATAGCTAGATAGAAAGATATAGATAGATGGATAAAACTTCTGCAATCATGAAAAAATTTCTATTTCTGATGCAAAGGTACACAGTGTACTTTTGTGATTTCGACCATCCACGACCTATTCGCCCCCCTGAATGAGTTTATCTAATTGCCGGTCGGCCCTTTTTGCTTTTGGAACAAGGCAGTGCCATGAAATATTAACTGAAACTCTCCAGATACAAGTGTTAGGCCCATGACAGTTGGCAGGATTTATAATTAAGCATACGGGGGATTAAAGACATTAGACTTCCACTCATCATTTGTCCCTCGACCTTGCATTCTCTCCTACAAGAATCCCGGAGATTCTTCCACTGCCTCTATGGAGATTAAGCTGCAGCTGGCCAGAAAGACAAAGCCAAACTGTAGTGGTTAATGGCTCCATGCATCCCAGACTGCACCGGGGGGAAGCGGGGGCGGAGAGGGAGAGATCAAGGGTCATAAAATTGCAGTTGTTTTCGGACGTTATTAAATTCAGCCAATGTCCTTCATGCAGCTCGGTGATGTTGGAAACTAGACAAAACTCTTTCCGCTTCTTTTTATTTAGATGCAAAATATGGGCTCTGATGTAAACATGCTAGTTCTTAGGCTAGTACGTGTCTCCTTTCGACTGTTGTTTTCCTTTGGTCTCTGGAGAAGTGAGTCCCAAGTTCGAGACAAGGTGAAAGGGCCCCTCATCTCTGTCGATGGTCCGTGCCCGTGTCCTCCAATACAAGAGGCGATTGAAATCAGGAAGCGGGGCAACTGGACCATCAGAAATTGCCTCTTGTATGGAGGATACAGGCACGGACCATCAACAGAGATGAGGGGGGCTTTCACCTTCGCTCGCACTTGCGACTTACTTCTACAGAGACAAAATCCGGCTGATGAGAGACACATTGCAAGACACCTCTGATAAGCCTTTCTTAAAACCCATGGCATATACAGATGAAATTATCTCAGTCAGAGTAATACATGTGTACATTTCAGAAGTACCAGAGTATTGAGCCAAGAGTCAACTGAAATGACTGAAGTTGACAGATGAGGCCAAACACCTTCAAATCAGGTCCGAAGTCTGAGGGTAATACTAGATTTTCAATAATAAGCCGCATCACTGTGGCACCGGGTGTTCCCAGAGGTTCAGTGTCTTGCCAAGGACGACAGCAGACATGAGTGGGAGTCGGTGGAGAAAGTCTTGTGGTGGGCTCGAAACTCACAACCTTCAGACTCAAAGAACAAGGCTCTACCAACTGAGCCACTGTCGCCCCTAAACAGCCGAATAGCCACATCAAATCAGCAGCTTTTTACCATATGAAAAGAATTGCCAGGATACAAAAGCAAACTTGGAGATTCTTATCCATGCTTTTGTCTCCAGTAAGTTAGATTACTGTAACTACTGCTCACAGGCCTCTACAAAC